GACTACATCCTCTTTCAACACTAATCCTAAATTCCTTTTCTAATTGCATTACATCCTTTGCATTCACAAAGACTATAGCCTCTAATCTTTGATAATCCTCAGATGCACAAGTACATTATAGTACCCAGAGGCCCTGCCACTACCAAGAGAAATAATCTGTAATTCTGTCTATGTTTTTAAGAAGCTCATTTGTAGATACAAACAATTGTTTGTATCTAGAAAGTATCTAGAAAGTAAAGCAAAAAAAAAAAAAATTGTAGTTCATGCAAATAGTGTCAAAGGGTTTCAGCATTTTACAGGTAACAATAGACAGACAAGTATGGAAATCTAAATTTGGGTACAGAAAACGTTTCAAGATCCAAGCATCAGAGAAATCTCTTAAGAGGTCAAAGAAAACAGGATGCCTAGAAAGAGGTTCAGGTACAGAATTTTAGTCTTGGTGGGAAGTGACAAGAGTAAACCTGAGTTTGGTCTTGAGGGGATGAGTGCTGGTGAAAGAAAGACAAGACTCCCACGTGAAAAATCAAATCTGCAACCCAGTTACTAGAAGTAGGCCACAAGGCAGGGACTGGCTCTTGAATACAGTTTTAAAAAGTGGAGCAAGACAGAAATCGCATGTTGTTCTCCAAATCTACTTGTGCAAGTTTGCAAGTATATATACAAGCAAGGCTACTAATTGCAGCAGTTGGTAATAGGGAGAAACATAGAAAGTAAATGCTCACCAGTGAGAACCTGTTTATATAAATGATGGACTATTTTGCAGCTCTTAAAACCAATGAGGTATTTAACTCATATGAGTTGATGTGGAAAGATTTCCAAAATATATTATTATTAACTGGAAAACATTGGCACATAGGTCAAGATAAACAGTTTGATATCACCACTGCGAAAGGGAAAATAGGCTATATCTGGACCACACACAGATACACACACACACATGCACACACACACAAACGGTGTATATTAGTGTCCACTCTTGAGGAAAAGACATTCAAAGCATTTCAAACAGAGATTTGATGTTTGATTAGCGATTATTTAAAAATTGTTGCAGAGTCACAGGGGAAGGTAAGCTTACCCAAAGGTAAGCAACTTTAGGAAACAACTAACATCAAATAGAGCAAAAGGAAAAATTATTTAACCAAGAGTGCAAAATTACTCTTGTGCTGAGGCTGTTGGAGTATCTGTCTGGATAAATTCTAAGTCCTTCTCACTCCAACCACGATATCCCCTTAATATGCTTTCTTTTGGTCCCCAGCTAGGAAGAGATGGTCTTACCATGGCAATCTACTGATTATTATTATTATTATTATTATTATTATGTACTTTATGCAATTTGAAAATTGTGTTGGAGGAGGGATTGCCTATCAATCCTTTGGTTTGTGTTTACTTTTATTTTTTTCCTTTGTGCATTTATTCTATGTGCATATTGAAAATATGTACTCTATGAACCTAAAATGAAAATATTATTTCATTATATTGAACATGGTTTCATTTTATCCATCCTGTCTTTACCTTGCAAAATGAAAATCACATTAGAAACTAGTGAAATATCTGGAACACATTTTACTTAAAGCTTTCTAAAAATCAAAACTTAATAGCTAAACACAACAGAAAATTTCCAGAAGATAAACTTGTTACACCTAAATAAAAATAAAGTCAAGTTTCCTGGTAATTAAATAAACCCAACATAAAATAGAAATATGATGAGCTTTAATTTTTTTTTGGCTAGAAGTAGTTATTTGATTAAAATAATGATATTGAGAAGATTGCATTCAAAATTATTTGTAATTCATTGCAATTTTTTACACAATTTAATTGCCTGACATATTTCTTTATTGTTTGTTTTTGTTTTATTATGTTTACTTTTATTGAGGTATCATTGGTTTATAACCAATGATATGATTTAAGGCAATAGATTCACGCCTCCTCAGATAGAAGTCAGAAAGACAGTAAAAAAGATAATGAAACCAAAAGCTGGTTCTTTGGAAAAATAAAACAAAACAGACAAACAAACCCCTAGCTAGGCTTGGAATAGGGTGGTCCCCAGGAAAGGGGGAGGTTCCAGGTTCCCTGACCCACCCAAAGGAGGGTGGAGCTGAGCAGGGAGAGAAGCAGCTGCAGAGGAGACTGAGGAAGGAAGGAAGCAGGATGGAGAGCCAGAAGGAGACCTGGAGGAGACACATGGAGCAGAGACATGGGAAAACACTGCACTTGCCTTTTGGCTGTGGACTGGGTGACACAGATGTGGGTGAGAGACCCATGGGGAGGTTAACAGTGGCAGCTTTTATCTTGATTTTGATATTTCTCTTTTCCTCCCAAACTTGTCTGGTTGTTTCTGACCCTTCTCTATGGGTCCCTGCTGAAAGGTGCTTTAGACTTGTGGCAGGCTTTGGGGCCTTGCTCTGGGCCAATCCCATTTGGGGGGACTTTTACCCATGAGGGGACGGGTAACTTTGGGTTCTTGATTTAAAAACTATATTCCTTGTCTTTTCTGTATTGTTTACTAATTGTATTAAAGTTCTTTTCCATGAAAGGTCTTCTATATTTTGTGTTAATGCAGTGAATGGCAGAACCTATTTAGAGCAGGCAGGTTTGGGGGTTCTTGGGTGTCCCTCTCCCTGCCATGTAGCAGGCTCACAAAGAAAAAGAGGGAGAAAACACAAATAAATAGGATCATTAATGAAATAGGAGAAATTATAACAGACACAGCAAAAATCCGGAGGTTAGTAAGAGGTTGCTATGAACATTTATATGCAAAAAGTTCAGCAGTCTAGATGAGGTGGACAAATTCGTAGAATTATACAATCACACAAGACTGAATAAGAAAGAAACAGAAAAACTAAACAAGCCAATTACAAGTAAGGAAATTGAAACAGCAATCAACACTCTTCCAAAAAACAAAACCCCAGAACCAGATAGTTTTATAAGTGAGTTCTACCAAACATTCAAAGACGAATTAATATCCATCTTGAGCAAACAAAAAATTGAGAAAAAGGGCCTCCCCTGGTGGCGCAGGTGGTTGAGCGCAGCTCTGTGAAGTTGTCTGCAGCCTCTACAGCGCCGGTTCGATCCCGGCCAGCAGGCGAGGGTCCCACATGGCACAGCAGACCTCTCCTGTCTCGCCCGCTGCTCCCCTCAGCAGTGTACTTCATTAGTCTGCCTGTTCTGTTTCCTGCTCTGTCTCTGGTGAATCCTCTTACCCACCCATGCATCTGGCCTGTACCCCAGTTCTTGTAAATAAATAAATAAATAAATAAATAAATAAATAAATCTTTTTAAAAAATTGAGAAAGAAGGAATGCTTCCAAATACATTTTATGAGGCCAACATCACATTAATATTGAAACCAAATAAAGACAACACACACAAAAAAGAAAACTACAGACCAATCTTGCCAATGAACATGGACATTAAAATCCTCAATAAAATCTTAGCAAACTAACTCCAACCATGCATCAAAAGTATTATACACCATAACCAAGTAAGGTTCATTCCAGGGACAAAAGGATGGTTCAACATCTGAAAGTCAATGTAATTCATCACATCAACAAAAAGAAAGATAAAAACCCTATGATCATATCAACAGACACAGAGAAAGCATTTGATAAAGTTCAACATCAATTTATTATGAAACCCTTTGAAAAACTTGGGATAAAAGAAACATATCTCAACATAATAAAAGCCATATAGGATAAGCCCAGAGCTAGCATCTTTCTCAATTAAAAAAACTGAAAGCCTTTCCACTAAGATACAGTACAAAACAAGGATGTCCACTCTCGTCACTACTATGCTACCTAGCACTGGAGGCCCCAGCCAGAACAATTAGACAAGAGAATGTGGTGATAGACTCTGGGTGCTTCAGTGATGGGAGATCTATGGTGACCACACTTGAGGGAAGGAGTGATAAAAAAAATAAAGCTTTAAATATGTTTATTTAGTTTGTTTTTAGATATGCTCTTATTTAGTAAATGTTCAATGACAAGGAAGACTTAATTTTGCTTGGCTAGTAGGGGCAGTGGGGGTGGGGAAAATGGAGAGAGAGCCTGATATATTATTCAAGACAAGATAATTTACAGTAATAATCTACAGATGGTTTTATTTTAACCTTTGTGAAAAGAGCAGTCTATTTAAAACTGCGCCAGGAATGTGTTGGGTTTTTGAGATTAAATTTCCAAATAGAGCTGTGGAGTATATTTTTAAAAGTGACAAGTATGTTACTTCAATACAGCAGTCAATCGAGTCAGTTACATCACAAAGACTGTATCTGATGCTTCTCAGCACTACTTTGGATTCCCTTGGTGTGACATGTCTCTTATTGCAGCTTCTACTATGGTAACTACTCTGTGTTTGTGTACCTGCAAACACAACGTAACGCCCAGCCAGGGGACACAGCATCCCCAGCCTTCTTTGCTGAGGTTGAGGCAGGGTTATCTTGGAACCCATAGCAAGCAACAAACTGCCCATAGCAGGGGCAGTTTTTTTTTTTTTTTTTTTAACAGTAAATATTTTATTTTTTAGTTCTATGAACTATACACAATTGCTGTCAACCTAAATGATGAAAAAATGTTTCCCATAATTTCTTGGTTTTAGTTTTCAAGATAAGTCAAAAAAGAAATTTCTTTCCATTTTGTGAAATTTGATCTACACTTTAAGTGGAGTCAATTTTGATGACAGACTGGAACCTGCTTTCTCCCCCAGGCTGGGCAGCCCTTAATTTCACAAGGCTATTCATCCATAAGGGAGTGAGCAGCCAGGAATATATCTTGGTGCTGGCTCTCCTCCTCCCTGCTTTGCTCTCCTTTACTCCAGTGCCCTGACTCACACTTCAGTAAAGTACTTAAACTAAAGCGTTTATTTTAAGCTCTATTTCATAGGGAGCCGTGGCTAAAACAATCTCTGATACACAGTGCTTGGGTTCTGAAGGTTCAATTCTATGACGAGTGCTGGGGGAAAAACACATTGAAAATATGATTTTGAATACAGTCCGATGGGAAAACTCACATGTAGGAGGAACCACTGGAACCAGAAGCTCAAACGTTATCAGGACATTCTCTGCATCTCTCATCTGTGTTGCTGCTTCCTCTTTCCCACTGTTCTTCTGACTGACTGTATAGTTTTGTCTGATTCTCTGGCTCACCTGGAAAGAAACGGCCAATGTTTAAGGGAGGACACTCACCCCTTTCCTCTTGTTTTCCTGGAGGCACCTCTATTAAGTTACTCCCTGTCTTTGCTGCAGCTCGACTCCCCATTTACTCCCCAAGATGTGACTGATCTGATTTGTGAGTTTGGAAAAGGTACTGAATATATGCAGCTCAGCTGGTTTCCGTCTCATTGTTCTCATTGTACACTTCCAACCAGGTGTTCTCAATATCCGCCAGGACGTGCTCCTTTCTCTGCCTGTCATTTCAACGTCAAGCCTCTGACTTCAACTCTTGTCATACTGCATTCTTCGTGATCTCCCCTACACTTGCATCCTCGGGTGACCTTGAGTAACCCCTGACAGTAAGTTTCTATAAATCTGTATTTCCAGCCCCACCTCTCCCCTGAGATTTAATGTATGGCCAGATACACCCAGAGCTTATATAGACTCAAGAGTGCTTTTATAAATATCATAAAGACTGGTATCTATTGGATTCATATTTTTAATAACATCTAACTACCAATGGGATGTGTCCACCTGTGTGTTCCATGGCCGCTTCACATTTCATGTGTAAAGGAGAACTTACCAGGTTCCTCACCCCACAAATGGGTCTTCTATTCCTGCCCATATCCCCCTACTCTGTCACCCTAAAGAGAAACATCTTTGTCTTTTTTCCTCTTGCTGCAACACTGTTTTTCCTTAACAAATCTTAGCAGCCCTTCTGCTAAACATCCCTTGGAGTTATGTCTTTCTCTTTTCTCTCATATTACCCCAGTCCCTGTGCAATGGCGCCATCTCTTCTTTTGCTCAACCTCCCTAATGTATGTAAATACCCTTGTTCCCTTGCTCACTCCTATTCTTCCCTGTGATTTAGCTTAGACTTTCTTTCCTCTTCCTAGATCAAATTAGAAGCCCCTTGATACTCCTCCGGAGCGAACACCAGTGTGGTGCACTGGACTGTGTCCTCTTGGCATGCCCAGGGGACAATTCTCTGTGCCTTACCCACTTCCTCCATCAAGTCCTCTCTGAAATGCCTTTGTGATTTTCTGCCACGGGGCTTTCTCTCAGTCGATGGTCACATGCTGAGTCCGATTGCAGAAGCAACGTGGAAAAGTGGCAGAAGATGAGACCCGAGGCAACCTCAAGTGGGGACAGGAGTCAACAGATGCTCTAGCAGGGTGACCCAAGGGCCTCTCTACATAGTTCCTCAGAGGGTCTCTAGTAGCACCGTGACCCTGAGGTCACTGTTGCTCACTGATGTTCTTTACCAGCTTTTTTCCTTCCCCTTCTCACTGTATAATCCCTTGCATGTTTCCTGGCATGATCATCCAAATAAACTACCTGTATCCACATATTTTATTTAGGCTCTGAATGAGGCAAGTGGGAGTACCCAAACTAAGCCATGCTCCAATGGTATCTGATCTATACTGACGTGGTAGAGTTTGTTATGTCGAATTATCATTGCTGCCTTTTCTGTGCATCTTTAATGGCCAGTGCTCTGACATGGGCCTGGATTAGAATAGATATTATGAGAAATATACAAAAGCAGGAAGGACAGGTGGGGTGGCAAGAGCAAAGAGAGAGGAGAGGGAGATGAGGGGAAGCTAGAAGAAGGGAAGGACAGATAAAAGGAAGGAAAAGGAGGGGAGAGGAGAGCCCTTTTGGTTAGCACTGGCTATTCCAACTTATACTTTCACTTTGAGGAGGTACAAAATTTGAATGGTGCATTGCAAATATAGGATATTATTGGAAATTTATCTAAAAAGCGAGTCACAGACACAGTGGGTTTTATCTTCATGGAAAGGTAATTAAGAAACCAAGTCCTTGGGCCTCCCCGGTGGCGCAGCGGTTGAGCGCTGGGTTGCGAAGCTGCCAGAAGCCTCTGCAGCACCGGTTCGATCCCTGGCTGCTCCCCGGCCACCGGAGGAGGGTCCCACATGGCGTGCAGACCTCTCCTGCCGCCCGCTGCTCCCCTCAGCAGTGTACTTCGGCCCTTCTGCCTGCTCTACTCCCCGCTCTGGCTCTGGTGAATTCTCTCACCCTCCCGCGCTTCTGACTGTACCCAGTACATGTATAAATAAATAAAAAATAAAAATAAATCTTAAAAAAAAAAAAAAGAGAGACCAAGTCCTTTGCTGGAACTGTGACACATTATCTGAGACTTGCAGTAAACAAAAACAGCGTGGTGTTTCTTTGGGGGATATGATAAGGACAGGGTACCTGAGAGCAAATGATAAAGATGGAATCAGCAGAGGGGCTGCCTTTGCACAGTTTTCAATTTCCTCAGGATGTGTGTAAGGAAGATGGAGTGTGGGAGATGAGAGCCCAAGTCTACGGGTTCAGGGTTATTAAAAAAATGGTTGAATCCTTTACTGGAATTTCACAGTTGATCTCTGCAAAACAACTCTAAAGAGAGAAAGCTTCACCAGAGAATAATGTGATACCCTGGCACATAATTATTTATGAAGTGCACATCACAGTGGCACCTAAACACTTCAGAGATATTTGATGCATGGCCTGGATGCATCCAGAGCTTTATTAGACTCAGGGTGCTTTACAAATGTAATAAAGGCAGATGTCTAATGGAGTCACGTTAAAAAAAAAAATCCCCACTGCCAGGGCACTTGCAAATGTTCAGTTGTCTCCTACTACCCGAATACCAGTCTCCAGAGAAATGCTCTTAATAGAGCATAAATAAGTGGACTAGAAGTTCTTGGTCTCTGAAAGAGATTAGTGCCGGGAAATAAAATAGTAATTTAGGAGAAGAAAGAATTAGAGTACATACCTATATCTATCTTTTGATTTATTTCTTTTCTTCCATTTTGATGTTTTTCATTGTTATTCTTTCCTCAGCAGTTGTCTTGTTTATATTTAGAAAATCTAGATAGCCAGGAATCCTTGGTGTAAATCATTTCTTTTACAGAGATCTGCGAGGTTACAGATATTGCTTTCCTAGCCCACTTTACTAAAGCAAAGACTGTCTATAGAGGATTTTCACACAAAATGAATGTTTAAAAAACTTAAAATACAGCTATATTTGGATCCATGAGCTATAAACAGCAGGAAACCTGCAAGATTCTAAAACCTGCTATTTCCCCTCTTATTATTTCTGTTTTACAAAGCTTTGTGTGTTCCATCTTCAGAAGCTAACTCAATTCCTTCAGTTCAAGAAAATGTATTACCTTACCATGATGTGCAGCCTTTGGATTTTTCTGACTTGATCCACAGATGTCACCTCAGAAATGATGCTTGCCATTCAGCTCAATTTGCATCATTACACAAAAGGGACTCTCCTTGGAAACCTTTCATGTGCTTCTGAAACATAATAGCATTTCAAAGAAATGTGTTCTTTTTAAGATAATAACTGCTGTTAACTCCCCCACTAGATCTTGCTGAAGTTTATGACAATTAAGCCAGTACTTACAACTGGCTGGAAATGATTTGACAGTGACTTAACTCTTTGGGGGAATGTTATTCTTTAACTTACTACTATGGCAAAAATTTGTTTTGCTTTTCAATATGTATTAGAGTATTCAACTGTCATCTCTGTTTTTCCTCTACTTATTCCTGGGAGTAGAAATCCATTTTTGGTGTTGTATATTTGTTGTTCTTAAAAAAACAGATAGAATAATTGCTGTGGATTGAACTGTGAACCCCTCCCAAATCCAGATGTTGAAGCTCTCCCCCTACAGTACCTCAGAAGGCTGGAGATAGGGCCTTATGGAGTCTTACCTTAAAATGAGGCTGTTAGGGTAGACCCTAATTCAATCTGTGTGGTGTTCTTATATGAAGAGGAAATTTGGACACAGAGAGAGATACTGGGGATGCTCACACACAGAGAAGAGACCAGAGGAGGACATTGAGAGAGGACAGCAAAAAGGTAGCAATCTTGAAGTCACGGAGAAGGTTCTCACAGGAAACCAAACCTGACCATGGACTTCTAGACTCCACAGCTGTGAAAAAATAAATTCTATGGTTTAACTATTCCATCTGTGGTGTTCTGTTATGGTAGCCCAATACACGCAAATTCTACATGCCATATCCCTTCCAAATGGCCATTCAGCCTTGGCTTGAAGCTTTTCAGTGTGAGGGAAGGTGCCACTCCTCACTATCTATTCCATTCAGTGACTGTGGTTTCCTGCAGCAATTCCACTGCTGAAACATCCATCGCGCGCTACACAGGATGATCTCCTATTGCCACAGAAGCCAAGTGCTTTCAAAATAAAATGACTGTGAGTTGGTTAAGAATGACCTAAAGTCCCTGAATTTCTAGACAGTGCCTCTGAATGCAATTTCACAAACTCAGTTGCTAAACTGAGACTCCTCTGTCTCCGAGACATCATTGGAGGCTGCCTGTGCCCCTCCTGAGCCTCTCACTCCTTGCTACCTGTAACCGGCATCTTGCTGGTCTTTCTGACTACAGCTTCCAGTAATTGCTACCCAAAAGAGGCTATTTTATGTACATTGGAGGAGTAAAATTCACTGTGGGCTAATCACCCACTTACCACCTCCCTGACTGTTTTTATTTGGTGAGATTAAATTACAATGAACAATGAAGTCTGAGTTAAAGAGGAAAATAAGGCACCCTGAGGGCAATTTAGGAGCACCAGATGGGAAAGAAGACAAACCTTTGCCTTGCACAGAATGTGTGTGTGGCAGTATCCTCTAGCAAGGCTTCCTCTCTGCCCTTGCCCTGACAGTATCTGCACACTCCCCTCCTCCCCTTGGTTTCCCTTCTCACCCAGGGTAAAATCTGGGTCCTTTTAATGGCCTCTAAGACCCTACTCCCTGTTCTTGTGAGCTCCTGATCTCAGAGGTCTGTGCTGTCCTCAAATGCCCCAGATGCCTCGATTGTGGCTTTTGCTCTTATTGTTCTTTTGGTTTCAAAGTCATTTCCCCTGATATCTGTCTGAGTTTTGCTCAAAAGATGTTTTTCATTTTTTTTAACCCTTTGCCAGAGCTGCAAATAATATCACAGTAGTAATAGTAGTGAAAATAGTTTTTCCTGCCATTACTCACAGCTGTCTGGGAAGACGCATGATTTTAAACAAAGTAAATGCAAGAGGAGGTTCTAGATTATCTCAAAGGTATCACCCTGGATAGCACACCTGGTGAGAAGCATTTCAATAATACTGATCAATATTTTGGCACTCATTTACAAAGCTATTTCCAATTATATTTTTAAGCTACTTTAGTGAAAATACTGTGCATGATGCAATAATGATGGACAAATGTCATTATATATTTTACCAAACCCATAAAGTGTCCAACACTGAGAATGAACAGTAGACTATGGATTTTGAGTAGCAGTGGTGCATCAGTGCAGGATGGCCAATTGTAACAAGTGTACCACTTGGGTGCTGGGGGTTGATAGTGGTGGATGCTATGCATGTGTGGAGGGCAAGGAGGATATTAGACATCTCTTACCTGCTCTTCAATTTTGCAGTGAGCCTAAAAACATTTGTAAAAAAGTTATCTTTTTTAAACAAGTTACATTTGTGGCCTTTTGTGTGGGTTAATATATAAAGGAAAAAGTGAATTGATGCAATTCAATTACTTAGCTCACCCTTGCTTCCCAGACCCTTAGGGGATAGCTGAAATAATCCTGAAAGAGTGTGCTCTTGTTAGCTTATGATTGAGAGGTACCCAGGGGCCCTGAATATTAAGAGGTGCATGCTCTAAAAGGAATTCAGCCATTTGCATGCACAAAGGCAAAAGAAATATATTCTTAGTGGGAAAGATTTTTTAATGGAATTTTGTGTGCATAGACAGCAAGAAGAAAGGATTTCAAATAACAGCAAACTATGAAAATTACCCATCCCCCTCATGGGCAATTGTCCAGCCAAACAGACTCAGCCTCAAGCAGGACTGCTGAGGTCTGAAAGCTCAGCCTCAAGCAGGGCTGCTGAGGTTTGAAAGCTAGCCAGTAGCCTACGGTGACTTCTGGCAAGGAACCACAAGAAAGGGATTAGGCAGGTCCCAGAGACTTGAAGGAGAGACTCAAAATTCAAAATATATCATACAATCCAACACGAGGTCAAGAGAACAGCTGCCATTGTCTCTGCTAAGGACGAGGAACAGCCTCTCCACTTGTCTCTCTCCCACAAATTTCTTCCAAGTATCCCTTCTAAGTGTCTCTACATGTCTCTCTACATATTTCATCTCATGTGTCTCTTCACTTATGTCTCTACATGTCTCGCCGCATCTATTTATATATCCACCTTGCTCCAGTTGCCCCCAGCCCCATTCAGGAAGTCTGATTCATGGCACTCTGGAACTTGAATTCTGCATTCAGGAAGTCTGATTCATGGCACTCTGGAACTTGAATTCTGCATGTAAGTAGGGGTGGGGGAAATTGCACCTTTACCTTTCTTTGAATTATATCTGTAACACTCTCATGGATGTTGCACCTACTAACTAGGGAGTCCTCAAAGGTTCACTTGAACTCTTGTATGGTCACCTCTAAGGAACATTTATACTATATCGTTTGTGGGTTTCTTTTTTAATATTTAAATACAGAATGTGTCACTCTCTACTGCAGGTATTGCCTTATCTGTCTGCTTAATCTCATATACTTGGAGCACTTTAATGACAGTGTCTTTAAGAATTTTTATAAAATTAACAGATGCTCAAAAATCCAAATAGTGCAGAAGTGAAAGTCCCTGGTGTCCTTTCACTTCACTTTCCAGAGGGGTCCCCTGCTAAATGTCTGAAATACCTCTCCTGAATTTTGCTATTTATAAACAAGCAGATATGTGTACATAGCAGGCAAGATTATTTTCAGGACATCACATCCAGGAGTGCAAAAATGGAACTTTTTAAAAATAACATCTTGCTCTCTTGTGACACTAGTTCTGTCAAGTAGCAGAAAATGTAATGTTTGTCAGATCAAAGGAAGTGCAGGTATTTCAAGATTTTCTTATTCAAATGAGAAATGTCTGTTGATTGTTTTTCTAGATTCCAGTAGCTAGCACAGAAGTGTTGTGGAGGCAGTGGCCAGCCACTGATCAGCGCTGAACACACAGGCAATGGCAGTGGTACCCTCTGCAATTGGAGCTCTGGAGCTGCCCATCTACCTTCCATATTGGCCTCTGCCAGCCCCAAGGTTTCAATTGATTGTTGATTCTTTCTAAGAAACCTGATGCTGTTCTCTGGACCCCAGTCAATGAAGCTGCACTGGACCATCTCCCTGGCACACCTTATACCAGTCTGTCTTCTAGTCTGTGTCTTGGCAGCAAAGAGAACTTCCTGGGGACCTACACAGGAAGCTGGGCACAGCAACTGTTCTTCAAGGAACCCCCATGCTCTGTAGTTCAGCTCAAGGTGGGTGGTGTGCTGACCCCCATCATTTTATTTCATCCAATAGGTCTCTGCTCTCTGCTTCTCTTTTCTCTCCTGGAATATTTTATTTAGCCTAAAGCAGCAAAACTGACTCTTGTATCAACATTCATTCTTTGAAAACTATTGTTTAACCTATTGTCTCTGCCAGGAGTTTCAAAAGTCTGTTTTGAAACTAAAAAGCTGACAATTGATTCTTTTGTTCTCTGCACAATTGTGGTCCTGGCTCCCCGCTCCCCGGAGACCTCCTCTGCCCTGGCTGCTGTCTGTAATGGGTGGAAGGCACTGGAAGCCATGGTGAAGAAGGGGGATATGTTAGTAAACACTTGGAAGGATTATCCCACTCCATTTATAGATACCCTCCTTTTGCCCAGAATTGTAATCCCTTTATTCCCACTGTTCTAAAATTCATTTTTTTCATTCAGTGAAATATCAAGATCATCTTTTCAAACCAGTACATGGATGCCTACCTCATACCTTTATACAATTACATAATATGTCACTGTATTGATATATGCTCTTATTTACTTAATCAGTCCACTGATGAGGGATATTTAGGTAGTTTCAGATGCAACTTTTCAAAGAAAGCAACAATGACTTTACTTATGACCACACATTTGATTATGAGATAACAACAGTATACTAGAAATATATTTGCTATCATAGAGTATATTCATTTAAAATATTAATTGCTATAAATGGTGTACTAATTTACACTCTCACCAAAAGTATTTAAGAACGCAGATATCCTACACTATTTGCCAGCACTAGACATTATCATAGTAGAGATTGCTTTTGGTTTCACCTTTGTGTGACTTTCTCACTCATTTTTTCAGACTATTTCTTTTCTATTAAACATTGTTTTTTTTTCTTATTAATCTGCATGAGAACTTTACATGTGAAGGGAATTCTGGTTATCACTTCTTCCAGAAAGTCAACAGAGTTATATATTTGCTTTTATGTGGGTCTTCTGAGGA